GTGGCATGGTGGATAAGGGCACTGGATGCCCACATGGCTGACCGCGGTTCAAGTCCTGGTCCTGGTGGCTTGCTTTCTCGCTTTCCCTTTCTCTCTCTCTGGTCAAATGAAAAAATAATAATGATAATAATAACAGATGGAACTAAATAAATAAATATTTCTTTTTAAGAAAGAGAAAGAATGTAAATTAATTAATTTTGAAAAGTTTCAGAAAAAAGAGCTCATGTAAAATACGTGTAATGGGAAAATTATGTATGGATTTCAGAAAGCTTTTGTACCAAAATAAATTCATATTTTAATCGTAAAAACATAAAATTAAATTTAAAAAGAACAAAGAAAGAAAGAAAGAAATGAGGGTAACAACATAGAGAAGAAAGAGCATCATTTGATGACTCGAAGGCCAGTTTAAATCCAAGTTCTGCAGCTTACTGGCTGGATGACCCTGGGCAACCTTTAACTCCTCTGAGCCCCAGCTGCCAACCTGAAGTGAAGGTAGTCATGCTGGCCTCAGAAGGTTGTTACAAAGATTAACGGGTTTCAGAACCAGCAGTTAGCATAATTGCTATGTCGCTGGACTCCCATGTAGTTGACTGCGGTTTGAGTCCCGGACCCGGTGACTTAAACTCATGCCGGGTGCATATGTGTGCGTGCCCAAGATCCCGAGAGGAGAATGGAAGAGAAGGGATTGCGGCGTGGCCATCCTCCCTGGTGGGTGGTTTCTCACTTTCTGTCTCTCTGTCTCTCTCTGTCTTTCTGGTGAGTGCACGCGCCCTATAGCAAAAAACCTGCCCCCCACCCAAAAAAAAAAAAAAAAAGATTAGCGGGTGTCTCCTTAACATCCCAGGATGTTATTACCAGTGCTCTGACCCACTGAGGGGTTCCTGAGGTTCCCAAGCCATCTAACTCTGTCCTGATGTAGTCCACATGCCTTGTCACCCTGGGAGAGAGCGACCTGCACAAGGTGACCATGAGGATCATTAACAGGCATGCTCCAGCTTGCCAACATTTCCTTAGCATTTTCTACTGCCTTAACCTGAACTCAAAATGCATTTGTCCAGGGGTGCGAGTATACGTGACACTGCACAGAAATGAGAAACACAGCGACAACTAAATGATAGTCAAATACCTGCATTTAATTAAATCTTATGTGTGTGTATGTGAGACAAAACACTTAGAGTGGAGAGCTGCTTCAACAAAGAACAAAAGATGAATGGGAATTCGTAAAAATGAATTTAAGAAAAATTCCATTTGTGGGACCAGCAGGTGGCATGCCGATTAAGGCGCTTGGCTTCTGCATGGCTGACTGTGGTTCAAGTCCCAGACCCGGCAGCTTGAAATTCACACCAGGCACACGTGCGTGCATGCCCAAAATCTTGAGAGGAGCATGGAGGAAAGGGTTTGCGGTATGGCCATCCCTGATGAGAGGTGACTTCTCACTTTCACTCTCTCTGTCTCAGTCTCTCCAGTGAGTACATGTGCCCTATAGCAAAATATCTCTCTATAAAAAGAAAAGTTCCATTTCTTCATTCAAACATTACTTAGCGCATATCAGGAAGTGAAATCTCATCGTGACAAGAGTGGCAGGTTTGAGGTGAAAATGCCCCAGCCAGTGAGAGGAAAGCAGCGTCTCCTTCAGAGAGTACTCTATATAGTCATCGAATAAAAATGCTGACCCCGAGCATGTGGCATAGTGGTTGAGGTGGCTAGATCCCACATGGATGACTGTGTAGTTCGAGTCCTGGACCTGGTGATTTGAAAATCACACTGGGTGCATGGGCCTCCGTGTCTCAAATTCCAAGAGTCGAATGGAGGGGAAGGGATGGCAGCATGGCCATTTCCAGGGGGAGGGTGACTTCTCACTTTCTGTCTCTCTCCAGCAAGTACATGTGTCGTACAGCAAATAAAAATAATAATAATAATAATAAAAAGAAAAAAGAAAAGAAAATGCTGATGCCTTCCACCAAGTAATTCTCTTAGTCTTTCCTAAATGTGTCATCTGAAGTCATGACATATTTTTCTAAAATGTTTTTCTATGTAAAAATACTTCAAGACTTGGGACCAGCAGTTAGTGTAATGGCTATGTCGCTGGACTCCCACATAGTAGACCGCGGTTCATGTCCCGGACCAGGTAGCTTAAAACTCATGGCAGGTGCGTGTGCATGTGTGCCCAAGATCCTGAGAGGAGAATGGAGGAGATGGGATTGCGGTGTGACCATCCCCCCTAGGGGGTGATTTTTTGCTTTCTGTCTCTATGTCTCTCTCTGTCTGTCTGGTGAGCGCACGTGCCCTATAGCGAAAATCTCTCAAAAAAGAAAAAAAAAAAAAAAAACTTAAAAAAAAAGGTTGTTTGTTTTTTTTTTTAACCTGGAAGAAAATAATGTTGATAGGGACAACCTTGAGTGAATGCTTTTTCATTCCTTCTTTGTACTTAAACTTATTATACTGATTGTATTTCTTCTATTAAAAAGTACTATTTTTTTTTTATAAGAAAATCACAAAAAACAAGCACGAAATAGTAACCATGAAAGCAGAAGGTTAAACAGGAAAGAAAGTTCTCTAGGTTCTCCCACGCTGTGGAGACAATTCCCTGCTATGGTCTTAAGTATAGAAAGAAGAATTTCCTCCTGAGAACTTGGCTGGTCAGTGCGCCCCTGAGAAGGGGAGAAGGGTAGGCCAGGAAAATACACTCGGGGAACTGCAGGGACAGCAGAGCCACCACCTGGGCTCAGAGGAAATGCCAGCACTTGGCGTCCTTCCCTGGGGCACTGCCAGGCAGGCTCTCCCGGTCTCACACACAAACAAGAAGCTATCCCAGACCGGACTTAGGGGTACCTACAGAGCCCCGGCTACCGCAGACTAACAACAGGTGCAGGGAACAAGCCAGGCGCTGCCCAGAGACACTCACCTGGAGGTAGATTGCCGCCTCTTGATAATTCATTTCCCAGTTGGGTCTGCTGGGGCTGGAGGGGGAACTCTCGCCCCTGGAGCTCAGACCGAGGGCCTGGGAGTCATGGATGGTATAGCTGCCCCCATCTGCAGGGAAGAGGAGAGAGATCCACTTAGAACTCGGCTTACAAGAGGAAAGACACCATCCGGCAGAAGGAAAAACTGGCTGGCATGTCACGCGCTCCTCCATGAAGCCCGCTAGCTCCGAAGTCAGCATGGCTGGTTAAACATTTTCCTTCTCTCGTTAAGTGAGAAAAACAAGTACCAGAGAAGATACGTAGGATGGAGTTTTGATTAAAAAAGGGAGGAAACAAGAAAGCATACATTTATCTATATATCTTCATACACACACACGAACACACACGCACACGTACACACACACACGAAGGAGAATTAGAACTAGCAAAGTTGATTACCTGCGAGGGGTGTGAGGAATGGGGTAGAAATGTCACTTCAAGGAGTACCTATTTCATATCCTTTTAACTTTTGGAAGCATAATATTCTACTTAATCAAAAATTTAAAATAACCAAGGCCAGCCCCATAGTGCAGCAGTGAAGCCCTATGCTCAGGGAGCCAGACCCCCACACAGATGGCTGCAGTTCAAATCCCAGGCCCAGTGGCTTGAAAAACATGCTAGATTAAGGTACTGGATCCCACATGGTTGATTGTGCAGTTCAAGTCCCGGTCTTGGATCTGGTGGCTTGAAAATCACAGTGGAGGGCAGGGGGAGGGATCAGCAGGTGGCGTGATGGTTAAGGCACTGGGATTGTTTTTTTTTTTGGAGAGGTTTTTCTTTTTGCTATAGGGCGCGTGGGCTCGCCAGACAGACAGAGAGAGACAGAGAGACAGAAAGCAAGAAATCACCCCCCAGGTGGGATGGCCACACCACAATCCCTTCTCCTCCATTCTCCTCTTGGGATCTTGGGCGGGCACACACGCACACGCGCCCAGCGTGAGTTTTAAGCCACCAGGTCCGGGACACGAACTGTGGTCGACTACGTGGGAGTCCAGTGACATAGCCATTACACTAACTGCTGGTCCCAAGGCACTGGTTCTTTACCATACAGTTCGAGTTCTGGAGCCAGCAGCTTAAAACCCACACTGGGCATGTGCGCGTGGGTGCCCAAAATCCCAAGAGGAGAATGGAGGAGAAGGGATTTGGGTGTGGCCATCTCCCCTGGGGTAGTGATTTCTTGCTTTCTGCCTCTCTCTATTTTTCTCACATGCCCAATAGCAAAAATCTCCCTAAAAAAGAAAACCACACTGGTGTGTGACTGTGTGTGCCCAGCCTGATGGAGAAGGAAGTCCACAGAGAACACGGCACTAACTAAAACATAACGCTGGCGGCACCCCTGCATCCAGCCTCACCCCTGGATCCTGACCTTCCCATACCTGGCTGATGAGGGTCCGAGCTGAGTCTGTTTGACTTGTGTGCATCACAACCGTCACGCGTCTCTACTGACATGCCTGGTAAGCAATGGCACCACCCACTTGTTAATTTACTGGGAAGGAGTGATCTAGGATGAAAATCTGGTCCCCCCATTATCCGCACTGAAATGATGCACCTTGAGGACCACAGAATCAAATTTTGGATACTGAGCTTTGCACGGCTGATAGGAAACAAGAATGTAAGACACACAATCATGCAGGAAAGGGCTGGAAAGTGAGTGAGTTCACAAGACTACTGGGCCACAGAAGGTCCTTCTAGAACTCTGAGACAAAGGCACAGGTTACAACTGGTTTCGAGTCCTTCCCCACCCTTTTTTTATTTTTTAGAGTTTTTGTTTGCTTTTGTCTCAGAGAGCATGTTCTCACCAGGGAGGGGGATGGCCACACCATAATTCCTTTCCCTCCATTTTTCTCCCAGGATTTTGGGCATGCACACACATGTGCCCGGTGTGAGTTTCAACCCACCAGCTCTAGGACTCAAGCCACAGCTGGCCATGTGGGAGTCCAGTGACGTAACCACTAAGCCATCTGATGGCCTCTCCCCCACTCATTTTTTAGAAGTTTAATTGACAGGCCAGTAGGTGGCATAGTGGTTAAGGTACTGGACTCCCACATAGTCAACTGCAGTTCAAGTTCCAGACCCAGCAGCTTGAAACTTACACCAAGCACCTGTGCATGTGTCCCCAAGATCCTGAGGATAATGGAGGAGAAGGGACTGTGGTGAGGCCATCCCTCCCAGGGGTGATCTCTTGCTTTCTGTCTCTTTATCTCTCCAGCGAGTACACATACCCTATAGCAAAAATCCTTCAAAAACCAGAACACACAACAACATAATTGAATGCACATTTTTAATGCATACGACGTGTATGCCTGCAAACCCATCACTACAATCAAGACAACATAGCCATCACTACCTCATGACTGCCTACCCTCCTTCAGGTAACCACTGATCTGCTTTCTGTCGCTATTAGAGAGGTGTACATCTCTGAGGATTGTATATAAGTGGAATCACAGTGTGTGAACTCTTTGTCTGACTTCTTTTACTCAGCATAATTAATTACTTTGAAGGTACCCGTGTTGTATGCTGCCACCACAGGTGGTGCTGTGCTGTTGCTGAGTAACAGTCCACTGGATGAATGCACCACGGTTTATCTGTTCATCGGCGGATGGACGTTTAGATTGTTGCTGATTTGGGGCTATTTCCAATGAAACTGCTATTGAGTTTAGAAAGTATTTCTTGCTTTTCAATTTTCGGAAAGAATCTGTGTCAAGTTGGCTTTATTTTCTTATTAAATATTTAGTGGACTTCACTGGTAAAGCCAACTGGACTTAAGAGTTTTCTCTGCAGGGAAGTTTTACTATAAATTCAATTTCTTTAATATTACAGATATAGGGATATTCAGGCTTTCTATTTCTTTTTTCTTTTTTTTTTTGTTGTTGTTTTTGTTTGTTGTTTTGGGGTTTTTTTTGGTTGTTTTGGAGAGGTTTTTCACTATAGGGCGCATGCATTCACCAGACAGACCGAGAGAGAGAGAGAGACAGAAAGTGAGAAATCACCCCCCAGGGGGGATGGTCATGCTGCAATCCCTTCTCCTCCATTCTCCTCTCGGGATCTTGGGCACGCCCGCACATGCGCCCGGTGTGAGTTTAAGCCACGGGGTCCGGGACGCGTGGGAGTCCAGTGACATAGCCATTACGCTAACTGCTGGTTCCCAAGGCTTTCTATTTCTTATTGAGAACGCTTTGGAAGCGTATGCCTTCCAAGCAATTTGTCCATTTCATCGAAGTTGCAGAATTTATTGGAATAAAGTTGTTCTTACAGTCCTTTATAATTTTTTATATTTCTGTTCAATCCATGGTAAGATTACCTCTTTAGATTCTGATATTGGAAACTTGATACTGAAATTTGTTTCTGATATTGGAAACTTCCTTTTTTTCTCTCTCTTCTGATCTGACTCTAGGTTTATCAGTTTTATTGATTTTTCTCTCAAAGAACCAGTGTTTTATTTCATTGTTGTCCTCTGCTTTTTTTCTGTTTCCTATGTCACTGATCCACTGATCTCTATTATGTTCCTTCTTTTACTTAGTTTGGGTTTCATCTGTTCTTTTTCTTGCTTCTTAAGTTGGAAGCTGAAATCATTCATTGAAGCCCTTTCTTCTAATAGGTGTCTAGCGCCATAATTTATTTTATGAACAATTTTAGTAGCAGCCCTTTTTTTTTTTTTTTTTTCTCTTTTTAGGTTTTGGGCATAGGATGCATGTGCTCACTGGAGAGACAGAGAAAGACAGAGAAAGGGAAAGTGAGAAATCACCTTCTAGGGGGAATGGCCATGCCATAATCCCTTCTCCTCTATTCTCCTTCTGGGATTTTGGGCACACATGTGCGTATGCCTGGTTGAATTTTTCAAGCTGCAGGATCTGGGACTCAAACAGTGGTTGGCCGGCCATGTGTGAGTCTAGTGTCTTAACCACTACACCACCTTCTGGCCCCAGGGGCCCACAAACTATATGTTTTCCTTTTCATTCAGCTTATAACACTGCCTACATTTATTTCATTTCTTCTTTGACCTAGGACTTATTTAAGAGTGTACTGTTTTGTTTCCAAATATTTCCTGATATCTTTTTGTTATTAATTTCTAATTTAATTTGATTGTGATCAGAGAATGTCCTTACATAAAATGACTCATTTTTAAAATACTCTTTCCTCGGGACCAGCAGTTGACATAATGGCTATGTCGCTGGACTCCCATGTAGTCAACCGCAATTCGAGTCCCAGACCCGGTGGCTTAAACTCACTCCAGGCGTATGTGTGTGTGTGAGTGCCCAAGATCCCGAGAGGAGAATGAAGGAGAAGGGATTGCGGTGTGGCCATCCCCCAGGGGGGTGATTTCTTGCTTTGTGTCTCTCTGCCTCTTTCTGTCTTTCTGGAGCGTGCACGTGCCCTTGGTTAGCGACGCTACCCATAAAGAAAAAAAAAAAAAAAAAAAAAAAAAAAAAAAAAAAAAAAAAAAAACCCAACCAACCAAACAAACAAAAAAAACTCTGCAAAAATATATATAAAAATAAAATAAAATAAAATAAAATAAAATACTCTTTCCTCATAAATTCTTTAACGCCCCAGAATGTGGTCTTGGCAAATGTTCCATGTACACAATAAATAATCTATCATTCATTAATAGGTCAAGTTAGTTTACAGTGTTACTCGACTCTTCTATATTCTTAAGAGATTTTCTAGCTATTTGTTTTATAAATTAATAAAAGGCTATTGCTGGGACCAGCAGTTAGCGTAATGGTTATGTCGCTGGACTCCCATGTAGTCGACCGTG